ACATGAAACGAGTCATCAATCTGGTGATCCAACACTAAATACTTTAATATAATCTTCCTTTTAAAACATGAAACGAGTCATCAATCTGGTGATCCAACACTAAATACTTTCAGATAAGCTTCCTTTTAAAACATGGAATGAGTAACAGTGATCTGGTGATCCAATGTGTTTACATATAAACAACTTCAGCTTCCTACAATGTCTTCCAAAGTGATTTTTACCCCGACACAATCTGCATCCCCCCCAACATAAATTATCAGCAGATCCTAATGCAAAGAAATAAACCATCTAATTTAAGGAAAAAACACAATAACAAAAGATCACTCTCAAAATGAAGACATATCCAAACATCATTAGTAAAACCCTCCTGAAATAACAGTGAAACTTGTCATTCATTAACTTTGTGCATGGCTTTTATATGCAAATGTCCAAAAGAAGTTCAAAAAATCCAGTTGCAAATGTCCCAAAACATGGAAATCTTCTGTTCAATCAAAAATAAAAAATAATAATAATACTCCACCCTGTGGCACAATGTCTGTCTTTACTCTGAGCTCTGAAGTCTTCCAAACAAATTCTGAACTTTGGGAGACATCTTGTGCTGCTCAAGTTGCATGAAGATCTTTTGGAAAACTTCAAATGTGAAGCGCAGAGGCTTTGGATAAGCCAGGTTAAGAGCATATATCAAACCCAAAAGCAAGGCACATGCTGAGGCAACTGAAGCTAGGTTATGCAACACCTCCACTCCCTCGATGATGATGCCAACGTCTGCTGGAGGTTCTTCCAATCCCTCGCCCTCCTTCCGAATAACGAACACTGCCATGGTGAGCTGGTTGAGTTCCAGCTGAACATCATCGCCACTGCTGTCCTGTAGTCAGGTAGACAAGGTGTTAAAACCTAAAAATCATAATTCACTTTTGACTGTAGTTTTTGTAAAATACAACCCATGTAAAGGCAAGAATCAAACTCAAGATTTAGTAGTGGCATCTGTTTAGCATGACTAATACATAAGCTAGATAATGCTTTCTGAGAAAGAGCAATACACACTATTTGAAAACGAGTCTGGATTTAAACAGGATACAGCTACATTCAACTTACATTCAGCTCCAAACCTGTCTATTTTATTGAAACAGATGTTCACATTAGTGATAGGTAGATGAGGCATCACGTGTTGTTTCGACACATTACCAAACTGTATCGATACGTGTCAATACTGTGTCACTGAACACTGACACCTGCTGGACCTTAAAAATCACTACAGGCAACCTAGCTGACAGAATCAACTGACGCTGATTTGATGACCTATACAATATAATTTAAAAAACTAAATAAAAATAATATAATTTAAGCC